CTGGTAAAAGCAGTTTTTCATAGCTATAAAGCCTACAGTTTTTATTTTTGAATTATTTGATGAATGCCTAAAGGTATCCCACTAATTTCCAGAAGCCCATAGTTTGTTTATGACATTAATCTAATTGTGGATTTGTTACTCCTTAACATTACTGCTTGCTATATTTACTAAAATGGCTTTAAATAACAATTGCAAATCACTGTCAGGATTTATTATAAGTTGAGTTTTATAGGAGTTTAATAATAATGCCAATAAAATAAAACTAAGTTGGTGGATAACTGAGATTTTTATCTCAGCATATTCTTTCTGATGAATAATCTCTATATATTGGCACTTTTCTTTGAGAGAAAATATGGTGATGTTTGTGTTAATAAAACTATACATATATTATATGTATTATTTGCAGCTTTTAAAGCATTTTTCAGTATTGTAAAATTATTTATTCTTCTTGGAGGCAGAGGTTATATTAATCATAAAAATATCAGGTATTTTAAGTTGGATTGAGAATAGAAATAAAGAGGCACCACTCCTAAAATGCCAAGGAAATAATTTACTCACTTATATGAGTTGCCCTAGTTCTGTTTTGGGTTGAACTGCAGATTGCATAACTAAATGTTGAGGAGGAGTGACAAATTTGATTTTATAGTTCTCTTAGAAAACCTGAAAGCATAGTGAGAAATGAAACCAGAGATAAAGTGTACCTCCACATAGGGTAAGAATATGTATTGAAAAACCAAAATGCAATTGATCATGTAAACATTGCCATTATTTTTTTTTAGAATGACTTGTTTGCAAGACTCTTGAAAACTGCAGATAAGAAGACATAGCTACATGACATTTTTAAGGTCAGAATTAACTGATTCATTCTCTAAATGTCCATTTATGCTGAGAGACATCTTTACAAACATGAGTTCATCTGCTTGAGGGCCACTGGAAAGAGAAACTTTATTACTTCTCTCTTTCATTTTGTAAAATTTCATTATTATTACTTTTAAATAGATCTAGCCCTAGGACCTGGAAGTCATTTCAACATTTGACTTTTGAGGCTTTTACAAATTTTGTTAAGATTTACTGTTTTCATAATGATCCCATCAGTATAGAAACCAAAGATATCCCTAGTATTACAAATTATTAGATTTAAAATTTTATAGTAACTACCATTAAAGAAAACTATATACCATAAAATGTATCATAATTATTCCTGTGTATGTTTTAATATATTTAGTGGGATTAAGATTTCATTTATTTCTTTTAGAGAAAAATACACTTTACAAAATTAGCAACTGTTCTTAAATAGCAATTGCTGAGTTCCACTTTGCTTTTACTTCTTTTAATGTGGAATTAAGGTCTGCAGAAGTAAGGAGATCAAGTAATTATTATTCAGAAGCCTTATTAAGATATAGACACAGTAGAAGCTAAGGGTACCCATAACGGGTTTCCATCATGAGAACTGAACGAGGTAGATGTTCTGGCATATTCTCAGGGTTAGAGGACATAAATTAGAATGGGTTCTACTGCTACCACTGAGACAAGCCCTTCTCCTCCAAATGTCATCGAATCTTTACTTTCATCAGGATAAAAAGCCATATATTCACTACTTTTGGCAACCAGATAAAGGCAAGATTGATGGCATCTGGACAAGTCTAACTCAGCAATTCAGCATCAAATATATAGTAAAGTGTAACATTAATAATCTGGAAAATGAAATTAAATTACTAAATCTAACACTGAAAGATAAGATTTCGTGGTCTGAAGTTTCATAGGTCCTTGCTTTCTGTATTTTGTGCAGTGGATATATGAATGTGCTCATTTACTGCACATAAAAATATGTACAGGGCTGTACGGTTCACTCAGTTGGTTAAAGTGCGGTGTTGATAACACCAAGGTCGAAGGTTTGGATCCCTGTACAGGTACAAGCAGGCTGCCAAAAAACAAACAAAAATTGACAAAACAGAAAGATTTTTTCAAATATCATGTGCTTTCATTAAAGTAGCTTCATTTATAGTCTGTCTTGTTGCAACACACACTGTCTCTCTCTCTCCCTCTTCTGGTTACCTACTTCTCCTGGACAAAAGCAAAATGAACAGTAGTTTTTATTACCACTGCTAAACACTTGTTACAACCTTTAATTATGTAATATGTACAGGAAAGGTTGAAATCTGAGAAGTTCTGCTGGCAGCACTTTAAGAAACAAAATGACCTGATCAAGTATGTGTTGTGAGAATGCTTCATCCAGTATCTAAATTTGGATCCTAATTGACAGTGTGCTACATTAATTCTGGATTTCTTTTTTCTCTCATGGAGCCAGATGTATCTTGTTCTATATCCTGACAAAGCATGGAAAGATAATGGTGTCGCAGCTGCTTCCTACCTAACAGAGTTTTTAGGAATTCATATTTCTTCTTATGGAAGAAGAGAAAGAAAAGAAGGTAGCTTGATTTTTGGAAGGCAACTTGTTAGGCTTATTTTTATCTGAACTAGTTGTTGTACAGAATCACATTTTAATTAAATATAATGATAACTATATAGTTTTGGGGGGAAATGTTTTTATAAGAGATTTGACTCTGTGTTACTGTATTTTATAAGAAACAGATGAATGGCTTCCTAGAGGAGATGACTCCTTACCCAGGCATTCCCATGCTATGTCTGTGACATTTAATGATATCGTTATCTTCAAGATCCTTATTAACACTAGTAAGCTGAACCGAATATATAATGCAACACATTATTTAAAAATTATATTGCTTTAGAGCACCTCACTGTATTTATAAGCACTCATCTAACTCTTCTACTTATCTAAATATCTTGAAAATTATTATAATGCAACACATTATTTAAAAATTATATTGCTTTAGAGCGCCTCACTGTATTTATAAGCACTCATCTAACTCTTCTACTTATCTAAATATCTTGAAAATTATCTCCCAAAAAAAAAAGACAGGATTTTTTTTTTTTTTTAACTTTAATGAATGTTTACCTTGGAAATGTTGGATACTCTTGGGCCATCCACTGAATTTTTTCCCTTTGTTTCAGTAAATCCTGTTCTAAAAATGCCTTCTTTCTTTTTTTTATCCCTTGTAAATAACCCTCCCAATGTCAAGTTATTTTCCAATACATCTATATTCAGAATTTCATAGTATACAGGTTTCAAATAATATCCTAATTTTTAACTCTTTGATTACAAGACCTAAAAGCAATCATTGACTAGCAACATTTTCTCCCTCAAAAAATACTGATCACCATTCTATGTTCAAATGACCTATTTCAATCTTTGGAAAAGATTATATTTGATACCAGAATGTTTGGAATATCAGGAGAAATGATTAAAGTTACACCAGTGCTTCTGTATGTGAGCCATACCAAATCCTTCCAGTACTTTGTCAACACAACTGCATTTGGGCATGTTCAGAAGACTTTAAGAGACTGAGATTATAGCCACATGTAGACAAGTAAGATTTCCGAATAGAAAAAGGTGAATGGAGAATCTTCTTTATGGTAGAATATAAATTGTGTTCCTAATAAAGGGAGGCAGAAGATGAGGAAGAAAAAAGCCAGGGAATTGGTGATTGTAAAATACAAGGAAGACTCTCGTGTGTTCTTATTTATTTGCTGTCCCTTCCTCCTATTTCTCTGACCTATTTTGCTAGTAATGATTGGCATTTCACACCTGGAGAACCTGGGCTTGAGGTCCAGCCTGCAGAATTAAGTGTGAGGAGCTGAGCTGCCGATCCATTAGAAGCTGATGTTTTCTCCAGCTTGGTCAATCCTTGTTTTGCCACCACGGTGGCAGGTTTCAAGGCCACTAATAAGATGTACATATATTCATTTTGCTCCACACAGATGTTGATAGAAGTCATGCACGTGATATATTAAAATATCAGGAGAATGCTGAGGTGCAACAACCAGCAAGTTCAACATTTATTTGCAAGCTAGTATATGTTTTCTTACCTAAATTTTCCCAATTCCTTAAAAAGTACCCTTAATAAATTATCCCTGTATTTGCATTGCTATCTCCTGGTATGTATTTATCCTTCAGAGGAAATCTGCAGTCTGCATTTCGAATAAGATAGTCAGCTCTTCCTGAATGATGGAAGAAACCACAAACCCAGAAAGTTTCTGTAATAACAGTAACCTGACATTTTGAAACTTCAGGATCCCAATTCACAGCATTCCACCTAACAGTAAAATTAAAACCGGCTCCCAGTAATAAACTGAGATTATTTCTTAAATCATTTTTCAGGTAGATTGAGAGTGACTGAAGGGCAGGAACCAGGTCTTATCAGTTGTGCACCAACAATATTAAAATCAGTGTTTAGCACATAGTAGGTCTTCAATAACTATAGTTAAATTAAACTGAATTTTCTAACAGTCAGCACCAAATATTCAAACTCCAGATAATTTAGAGTACTTTTACCTTTTGTGGTCATATTTAATCTAGCCAATGAAATTTTATTTGAGATAGTGAATACATTTTACTGAAACTTTCTTCCAAGTGGAACGGAATGTGACTGAAGGGCAGGAACCAGGTCTTATCAGTTGTGCACCAACAATATTAAAATCAGTGTTTAGCACATAGTAGGTCTTTAATAACTATAGTTAAATTAAACTGAATTTGCTAACAGTCAGCACCAAATATTCAAACTCCAGATAATTTAGAGTACTTTTACCTTTTGTGGTCATATTTAATCTAGCCAGTGAAATTTTATTTGAGATAGTGAATACATTTTACTGAAACTTTCTTCCAAGTGGAACGGAATTTACTTCACAAAACCATTTTTTTAAAATCTGGCCATTCTACAAAGGGTAACCCTAATGAGAAGGAAAAAATACCATAGCCTCCTTGAATATAGATCTAAAATTCAAGTCAACTCATCAAACAGGACCCTGTAGAGATTGATGTTATGACTAAAGAATACTGTAGTATTTTCTTTCTGAGAAAGTAGAAAAATCTAATTACTTTCACGTCTCTCACATTTGAGCCATACTACAAATGAGTTTTGTCCAGGTACAGAAAAACCAACAATATTTTATTTATAATCTTATTTTTAGCTTTTGAACTACAAATTCTGGTTCTAGAATTGTTTAAAAGTCATGGGTTTTATAGATGCTCATATGTAAATTAATCTGTTGTTTTCTAACTTTTTTTTTCTTTTCCATAGAATGGTCCTCATAAATACAGAACAGGTTGTTACATGAAAAATATAAGATCTTGCGTTTTTTCCTCATTCTCTCTTAAAAATCTATTTCTAGTATTGCATTCCCCATTGGACTACTTCGTAAGGGCATGAGGGAAAAAAAAAAAAAGAAAAAAAAAAACCAGAGACAAAATAGACTGGATCTCACCACTAGAATTCACCATAAAAATCTCAAAGTGTAACAGAATTCTTACAAAATTTCCTAGACCAGTTCTTTAGGGAATTGAGATCTCCTATGAAAAATATGGCAATCAGGGAAGGGAGGGACGAGATGTGGGAAAATATTAAGTGCAGCAAAAACAGGTTCTGAGGAATACACATAATTTTGTCTGCTTTAGATCACAATAGAATTTTTAATAAATAAACTTCTTTTCTTTTTTGTTTTTTTTTGTAAAGACACTTTTTTGAAACAGTAGATTTAGCCCAGTCATTTGTGTCATTTTTAATAAACTGTCTTTTTTTTTATTGTTTTATGTAACTCTGTAAATGTTTTAGATCTGAGTCTCTTGTACATTGTCTTTAGAGTTCATTCGGATCAATAACGGTTCATGCACTGAACTGTGTATTGAATTTATTGTGTTAACTGTTGTTGTGTGGTTGAAGGGAGATTTGTAAGAGTTATAGTGATTTAGGTGCTCATGCTCGATAGCAGGCATGGGCAGGTGGCTTTCCATGGGTGTGTCCCCTGTAATCTCATCATCCACGTTAATGATTTCAACAGTCCTTGTTGGGGCATGATGGTTTTGCCGGTGGTGCTGCTTCCTCATCTTGTAGAAAATGACCAGCATCACGGCAGCCATCAGTGTGATGGCCACAAAACACCCAATGATGATTTTGGTCGTCTTCATGACCTCATCAATTCCTGGGATCCCACTATTTATATCAGTCACTGGGATGGTGAATGTCTTTTCCGTTGACCTTGTGCTCTGTGGCGTGAGAGAGGTGGTCACATTGGTGGTTTCCCAGTCAATCACTGGAGTGGGGCCCACGTTGTTATCTGTGGTCCGTGCCTCATCCTGAGAAGGTTCCATAGTCTCTACTGTGACGGTTGAGAAGTAAGAGAAGGGAGTAGTGGCTGCTGCAGTAACATTCAGGGTGGCTGAAGCAGTAGTATTTCCCACGGAATTACTCACCATACAAGTGTACATGCCTGTATCTTGCACGGTTACATTGGTGAAATTTAATGTACCATCACTGAGCACGGCTATCCGCACTTTGTATGCCCCATGTGTCATGACTGTTCCATTTGGAGTAATCCAAGATACGGATGTCAGGGAGGTGGAGGCCCGACATTTCAGCTCAGCTGCCATGCCTTCAGTGACATTGAGGTCTGCAGGTGGCTCCACAATCACTGGGGCATAGCATGTAAAGTAATTCTGGTCGAGCTCCCCAATGTATCTCCCTTTCAGATTGGGAGGAGTGTTACATCGGGCACAACAAGCTGTATTGGAAGGAGCCATGTCTTTTATCCACCAGCTGAGCCACAGTATGTCACAGTTACAGTTCCAAGGGTTGTGATGTAAGTGTATCCGCTCTAGATGATGCAAGGGTGTGAAGAGGTCATGAGGCAGTAATGTTAGATTGTTGTGTGCCAGGTTGATCTCCACTAGCGACTGAAGGTTATCAAAGGCATTCCGTTCAATCACCTGAATCTGGGACTGTATCATCCACAGTTTTTGAAGATGCATCAACCCCTGGAAAGAGCCAGGCCTGATGGCAGACAGATGATTCCCAGAAAGATCTAGCTCATCTAATTTTATGAGCGGTGTGAGGTTAGGGATTTCTCGGAGGTTGCACATGGCAAGGTTCAAATACCTCAAGTTGGACAGACCTTCAAAGGCACCTTCTGAGATGTATGAAAGCCTTTTCAATTCCCCTAAGTCTAGTCGACGCAAAGAAGGGATTCTGTTAAAAGCATAAGAAGGGATGCTTTCAATGGGGTTGTTTCGCAACCAAAGCTCCTTCAGTTTAGACAAATATACAAAAGCTCCATTCGGGATGGTAGTAAGACGATTGTCAAAGAGTTCCAGAGTGTTGAGGTTCGCCAGACCATTGAAGGCCCCAATTTCAATGGTTCTAATATGGTTCCTACTCAACTGTAGGATTTCCAGGTGCCTCAAGTGCTTGAAGCTGTTCACTTTGATGATCTGGATTTGGTTCTCATGGAGGTTCAGCAGCCGTGTATTGGTGGAGATGCCATCCGGAACCTCGCGCAGGTTTTTCCGAACACAAATCACCTTGCTGAACTGGTTGCTGCAGGAGCACACAGAAGGGCACGTTTGAGCCCGCACCAGACCTGCCACCACAAGAAGTTGAAGAGCCAGCAGCACCACAAGCAGGGGGTCAAATAGGGCTCTATTAAACCTAGGACCTATCATTATCTGCTGTGGATGTAAGGTCATCTTGTTCAACATTCATAATTTATCTGGTGTTGGTCCTTCTGGAGTTCAAACAGTCTGTAAAATAATAAGAACAAAAAAGAGTGTTAGATCTCCACATGTGTTTCTGGAGTAGTCAGATACAGCGATCTTGATACAGTGTATCAGCTAAAGCCATCATTTCTCAGACTAAAAGAAAGAATATATCTAATACCTCTTATTGAACTATGTGGCTCATATTTATAGGGAAATGTTTCTGTAGCCCAGATTAGCAGTCATCCACAGCTCACATTTTATCCTATATATAATCACAAAGAAATGGGCCAAAGAGGTGCAGGGCTGTAATGTAGTACTTACCAACTGAGTGTGACCTGATTGCATGAGGACATATGGGATGAACCCCACCATTAGCTTCAATATCCAGACCAGCTTGTAAGAGTTCAGAAGATAGGACATTTTGGCTGTATCCAACAAACTAAAAGTTCCTTTGCAAAATTGGTAATAGTTGACATATTATTGAAGGTTAGTCTATGTGCCAGACACCATGGGCTATAGACTTCACAAATAATCTTATCCAGGAATGACTACATAATTTGCAGGATCCATTTTAAAATAAAAATGCAGGGTGCCTTGTTAAAAATTATTAAGAATTTTAAATCAGTGACAGCAGCCCATAAAACCAAGTGTAGTTCCTCATAAACATAGGTCCGTTCGCAAATAAACAGATCACATGCCCATGAAGCTGGCCATATTCCTTTCTAATTCTTACAGCACTTGTCTGAAGTAGGAACTGTCATTGTTTCCATTTTCAATATGAAGAAATGTAATCATAGGAGAAATAACATGCAAAAAGTCACATGGTTAGTAAGTATACAACCAGGGCTCAGATGCTCATTTGATTGGTCCAAGAGTATATGATCTCCAACATTCCATGAAAATGTTGCTGTGAAAACAAGTATAAATGCAAAATATTTTTCGTAATAATCTTTTAAAAAATACCTTTCCTTTGGGAGTGAGTTCAGCTATAAGCACTGGCAACTTAATCTATGATACCTGTAAAGATGCACTGAAATAGTGACATGCACATGTGTACATAAACTTCTAGAGATTCTCATATACCAAAACTCATTATGAAATAGCCAACTGCTACCTGTAGACAGATATATCACAAATTAAATCATTTCCTATGAAACATAATTTTTGTTTACAAAAAATGAAATAGTACGACAGGACCATTATGTTTTGTGTTCCCACTTGTGCTGGTTTTAAGTAGATTTTTAAGAAGGGAAATAAAATAATTCACTTTCTGCATCTCTTCCAGCACAAGGAGGACTTCTAAAGGAGCTTGCATGACCCTGTATATGCCCCACTCGACTGGCTTATTGTGGACTGAACACCTGTGTAATAACTTCTCTAAAATCTCTCATCCCGATAAACAATGTCTCTTCTTTGACTCTCTTGAAAATTATAAAAACAAGAAGGCCCTCATCAAAAAGGCACTAATTTAGTACCTATTTCGTGTCATCTTGGGCAAGTTACTCATCCTTTTTGTGGCTCATACTCTTCTCTTCACTTGCAAAATGGAAATTGATAATATCACACCACCCTTAGGGGTGCTGTGAGGATAAAATGATTTAGAACAGCTAAGGAACTTAGAACAAGGTCTTCCACATTGTCAGAACTCAATAAGTTGTTAGATATTATTGTTATATCTGCTTTTCTTGTTGCCCTTAGCCAGACATGTTGCTAAGTACTGGGCAAATAAAGATGGAGAATATAATTCTTACATTTGAAGAAATTTTAATTCAATGGTTGAGAAAGATAGGCAAATAAAGTACAGTAATATATGTTCATTGCTATGAGACAAGTTCACATTGCCACAAGGTCACTAATGTTAGAGCAATTTAATCTGTGCTGGGAAATCAGGGGGTTTCAAAAAGGAAAATCATCTGACCTAAGCTTTGTAGAAGTTGGTGAAGAAAGAAAAAAGGGCATTTTATGTAGAAGGATGAGCCTGAGCTAAGACAAAGACACATAAAAAATGATAGTGCATCCAGGGGACAGTAAAAAGTGCCCTATGTTGGAAGAATAAAAGGCCAAAGGAGAAGAGTGGGAAGGGAAGCCAAGATGAGATAGGGTCTAGACTGTTAAGAGCTGGTTATGGCAAACTTAAGAGTCCCTGTTTTATTCTGCAGGCAACATATTTTGTTTCTAGAAAGGAATGCTAATATTAACTTTGTTTTGAAGCATGGTCATGTTGGGCTAATATGGAAGAGAGAAGAGCTTTGGAAGAAACTAGAGGCAAGAAGAACAGTTAGGAAAATCTTCCAGTTGTTCCAAATGGGCCTTGGAGAGAAGCCAAAGCCAAAGAGAGGTCCGGTTTCACGGCAATCACTTCCATGTCCACCACCTGAGGGCTTGAGAAAGAAGAGCTCGTCCTCTCTAGGACATAACCCTTCCACTGGTGGTGAGATCCCCAATATAAATTAGTGTTTATGAATAGTAGCATTGACGTAGCATACTTAAGATGGAGAAGAGCCTCTTTCCAATAACAGATGCCCTCCTCAGGAACAGAAGCTGTTGTTAGCAATCTTTAGACACATATCCACATTCACAAAACCGCTGAAAGGAACTTTGGTCTCAAGAAGGTGAAGTTAAAAGTCCTAGATTGCCTTCTGGCTTCAGAGGCTTGTTTTTGTCTCCTTCCCAATGGCATCAAAGAAAGTTGACTCATAGGTTCTGAGTTACTATTTCCTGTCTTGGCCTTCCTAGGCTGATCTGCTTGCTTCCTTCCTTCCCCAGGGCTCTTGCAGCTCTAGGTTGACTTTTCCCACCACCCAGTATTGTGATGATTTGTTCGTAGGTCTGTTTCCTCCGCTAGCCCGTGAAATCTGTGAGGACAAGGAGCCAGGTCTGATAGTACTGATCTGCTTGCTTGCTTCCTTCCCCAGGGCTCTTGCAGCTCTAGGTTGACTTTTCCCACCACCCAGTATTGTGATGATTTGTTTGTAGGTCTGTTTCCTCCGCTAGCCCGTGAAATCTGTGAGGACAAGGAGCCAGGTCTGATAGTTTCCTTTTAATCTACTGCCAACACAATGCCGGGCATACTGTACACACTCAATAAAACAATGGCGAAAATGTGCAAAATAGTTAATACGTAATTACAACTCTGCATATATGTAGTGATATGTTCTAATGCATTAATCATGCCTTTTTATTTTCTGTATTTTAGGATGTTTTGACATCTGGTGTCTTGCTATTCCTGGAAAGATTGCCCCCTCCATGGCTAGCCAATTCCTTGAAATAGTAAAGAACATACTTTTGAAGCATGATTTTCATAGGCAAACTAAGCAACCCAAAGCCCATATCCCAGCCACCTCCTTTGTCAGGCTCTCACAGGGTTCTCACACTCAGGCCACCATCCCCCTGCCGCAGTTACCTCAGGACCAGGTATCAGGCAACAAGGGAGAGCCCGTATGTCCGAGAGCCTGCCAAAATTACTCAAACTAGCCAATCCTAAGCCTGCTTACCCTGCCTTCCCTTGCCTTCACTTAAAAAGCACAACAAAAGCTTTTGCCCATGTTTTCCCCTTGCTCCTTCCACCTCCTGACTGAACCTGGTGTTTCCCCAAGTGGCCCCCAGCCTGCTGTGCCATGACCCTCCTCTTGGGAGCTGTGAGTGAAAAAACAACTACCTTTTCAAGGGTGCTTGTCTCCTGATCTGTTGGCGTCATCATATCTGAATAATAATAAAACCTGAATTTTAAAATATTCCCTAAACAACAGGGCTGGGTTCATCATATTAATCCTGTTAGTAGGTTTTATAGGTCTGTCCTAAGTATCCCACTTATATTGTGACAACATGTGGTTTGTAGGCTTCACACTTTGTGTATATTAAGAGTTATCTCTCATTGTACATTTAAACGTGACCTTAAAAAACCCTTGCAGACTTTCGTTTTGAATAGAAAGCTATCTAACTGTCCAGTGATCATGACTATTGAAAATTTCTCATTAACACGATTTAATGTAGTTTTGCATCTGCCGTACCTCCCCACACACTTCTTAAAGTTATTGGATATCAAAAAAAAAAAAAAAAGCACGTAAAATCCCTGATGCATAAACCAATTAATGTTTTTAGGATTGGGATCCCAGGGCCCTGATCTCCATTTCTCCTCCCATCCCCCACCCATGACCCTCCTCAGAATCCTAAAGTCTCTGGCAACACAGTTTGAAATAACTGGTTGACTGGAAATAGCACAGAAGTAAAGAAGATAAGTTCTTACTCGGCCATTTGCTACCTTTTCCTCTTTAAAATGTGAAACCATAAAGGCAGCCACACCCAGTGGTCAAGAGCAGGCTCTGATGTGAGACGTCCTAAGTTCATATCCCTGTTTGACTTCCATGACCTTAAAATTGGGACAGTTACTTCACCCGTCTATATTTCACTTTCCCCATCTGTAAAAGGACAATGACAATGTTATCTACTCAAAAGGCTTTTGTTAGGACTCTCATATAATATATGCAGTTACCGACTTATAATAATCAATATATAATAAACATTTAACGCAAATTAAAAATAAAGTGATGGGATACTCAGTTTCTTACTCTTCTATAAGATAGGAGCAACAATAATATCTCTTATTAAAAGTTGTAGTAAGAATTAACTGGCATGATAAGGAACACAGTCAAACATACACAAATACGATATATTGCTATTAATTATAGGCCATATGTGTCTCTCTTTTCTCAATTCACAGGCCCAGGTTTATTTTCTACTTCTTGCTTACTTCAAGGTCTTTATGTTATTGTGATTAGTAAGGTTTCCTATAAGTCAGTCATAAGTAATGATTTATGAATTATAGTCAGTTCAAAGCTAATTCATAACCTACAGCAAATGTTTGGAACATGCACTGAATCAAAAACAACTATCAACAAAAGGTTTCCTACTTTAAAATCTAAATTATGTTACTTCATATCAAAAGCCATGCTTCAACATCTCTTTCATTAGACGTTTTTATCATATCAAAAGGAACTGAATCAAAAACAACTATCAACAAAATGTTTCCTACTTTAAAATCT